CAGGAGGCGGAGGTTGCGGTGAGCCGAGATCGTGCCATTGCACTCCAGCCTGGGTAACAAGAGCGAAACTCCGTCTCAAAATAAATAAATAAATAAATAAATAAATAAATAAATTGAAATAAAAAGTTTGATATGAAGGGCTAATAGTAATAGTTTATGAACAATGCAAGAAAGAGGTTAATTTAACATGTCAGTATCTTTTTATGATGTATGTATATATATGGTGTTCTCTGTGTGTGTTTTAAATACTTTTAAATATAATATTCCATATGATATGTATTATCAATTAAATTTCATTTATTCTGAGAATCACTTTCAGGTGGTAAAAGTAATGCAACTTCAATTTTTATTAAATAAACCTGCTTATAATCACACAGCCCTTATTCAATTGCTATTTTGATGTGTTTTTACTGTATAATTTATCTGGAAGATGCACAATTTGTAAATTGGTTTGCTACCCTTTTGCATTTGAATTTTCAAAACTTTATCTCATAATACTGTTTTATTTGGATTATTTTAAGTTTGCTACTATAATTACTATATTTATAAATCGGGTATTTTCAAAATGACAAAGATAAGCATTCTGAGAATTTTGGATATGCTTTTTTCTCTTGCTTAAGATGGAGCCCTCCTGGTAGCAGTTTGTCGTGGTAAAGTGAGTGAGGGTCTGGATTTCTCAGATGACAATGCCCGTGCTGTCATAACAATAGGAATTCCTTTTCCAAATGTGAAAGATCTACAGGTAGGCCATCGAAACCTTAAGTTTCATTATTACAGTAGTCATTGGTTTTGTAGAAAGTTAATTGCAGGGATCCCTTGTTTTATGGCGCTTTGCTTTATAGTGCTTTTTTACAAATTGAAGATTTGTGGTAACCCTGCATTGTGCAAGTCTGTTGGCACCATTTTTCCAAAAGCATGTGCTCACTTGTTTCTATGTCACATTTTGGTTAATTCTCACAATATTTCAAACATTTTCATCATTATTATATCTGTTAGGGTGATCTGTGGTAAGTGATCTTTGATATTACTATTGTAACTGTTTTGGGGTGCCTCATACTACACCCACATAAGATAGCAAACTTAATTGATAAGTGTCGTATGTATTCTAACGGCTCCACTGACCAGCCTTCCCCCATTTCTCTCTCCTCGGGATTCTCCATTCTCTGAGACACAACAATACTGAAATTAGGTCAATTAATAACCCTACAGTGGCCTCTAAGTGATCAAGTGAAAGGAAGTATTGCATGCTGTCTTTTGGACAAAAAGAGTTATTTTCAAAGTCTGGTCCTGGGTCACGTGCATTGGTATCACCTGGGAACTTAATAGAAATAAAGACTTTCAGGCTCATCCAGACCTGCTAAATCAGAAACTCTGGAAGTGGAGCCCAGCAATTTGTGTTTTATCAGTCTTTTAACCACAGACTCATGGATCTCTCTATGGAATTCTGGGGTCTTTTGTCCATCTGATTCCCTTCTCTCCAGTGTCCTGCCTTGCAGATTTTGTGACTTGGTCACTCCGTATTCTGATCTCTTCCACCTCAGCTCAACAGGACCACTGCACTCTGCTTGTATTTTAATGTCTGTGCTGTGGCCAGGAAATTATACCCAAGCAGAGAGCTGACAATAATGGAGTTCACCTAATGAATTCCACTTAGCTCCAGAATTACAGTCTTGTGCTGTCTGGTGTCTACTACCCGAAAAAAGTTGCTCTGTTTTGCTTGGTTATTCGATTGCTTACAATGGAAGAAATATTCTCAAACCAGTTACTCAATCTTGGCCAGAAATAGTTGTATCTCAGTATCACTGATTGTTTCCTAAACGATATATTTGGAAAACTATAGTAATAATTTGAGCCTAAGTTGAAGCTATTGTTCATCAAGGAAGATTTTATTTTACTTCCTAAAGGCATTTGAAGGTGAATCTGAGAAAACTTGAGATTTTCTGGCCACTGAGCTGACTCATTGATTATGATCCATATCCCTCCTCCCAGGGTACAGTTAGGGTCTCATACCAAAGCAGCAGTTCTTTCATTAGAATAGTTATCTTTTTAATTATTAATACTTTACTAGGCACTGTGAATTAGATAATTTTATTTTTCTAGTCCATAGCAGTCTTTAAGTAGCATTAATAAGCAGTATTTCTTTTGTTAGCCCTCAATCTTCCCATAACCTCTGGACCTCTTCAAAATCTATGAAAGTCCTCGGGGTATCTCACTTGATGATTCATAGTCTAATATTTCAGCCTCCAGTAACTTTGGTGGTTTCCACTACCTTTCTCCAGTTAACCAGTGCTACTGCTGAGAGCACCAATGGCTATGCCCAAGGCTGGGTCTCCTATTCTAAAATGGCTGATGCTGCCTTGACTACTGCTACTGATGAAACAGTTGACATTTACCCAAGAAAACTCTTGTTGCCATCAACAGCTTCAGTGCTGGATTCCACTGAAGGGGAGCACTACTGGTGGCACAGCTATTGGCACTGGTATTGTCTCCTTTTAATGTCTTATCATTTTACTCTAGCCCTACATTATTGCACTAAGACTGCTTGTTAAAGTGGAAAGAATCCATTTCCCTTCTTTAACCACACATTTTCTTCCAATGTCTTAATAAAATACAAATTTTTCCTTGTAAAACTAATTCTTTCCATTTTTGCCTATGTCCTCTCTCTTCCTTGGACCCTACATATGAGTTCTTGAGAGCTGGAAAAGAAGAAAAACTTTATGGCCATACTAGGTTGTACTAGCTATTATAGGTACAAAGTAACAAGGCCTAAAAGGATCATTAAGATTATAATTCTGATTACATATAAGAAGAGAAGGGAATGATATTCAGAGTAGTTATCAAAAGAATTTTAACTTTTTCCATAATTTTTAGTAAAAGAAAACAAGCTGTAAGAAAATGTGATGAGAATACAGGTAATTATTATGTTATTCTTCATTATTTAAAAAAAATTCTTAAATAATTTGTGAGGAAAGAAAATTACATTTCTCTTTTCTCGACCTTTGCCTCAACAGCTATGATTATGAACATTGTTAGTATACCAACCTGGGGGTCTTAATGCCTTTTTCCTCAGGATAAATTCTTCCTAGACAGTATCTCAGTCTGTCATGCAAAAAAGATGCCTGGTGACCAACTCTGACACTCCTCAGTCATGATCCTACTTGTCATAGTTCTGCTTATCTGAATCTCAGTGGATCAAGTGCATAAAACAGCAAAATAATAGAAGCATCAATGGGTTCTGGGTAGAGGGGAGGAAGGTGATTCTAAAGGGTTATCCCTAGTGGTTCCCAAAAGGTGCACGTAGGGTGGACACAAGAATAGTTCAAGCTGCAGGGACAAGGGATAGAAAAAGTGAAGTTATTTACCAGCAGTACTAGATATACTGGGAAGTGTATTTCTTATTGTTCTATGTCTGGATCAGTTCTTCCTCTGTAACAACTCCAAAACTCAGTGACTTAAATCAGCAATCATTTATTACAGATGCTGCATCTATGGAGTGATTGGGTGGCAGATGATCTAGGCTTGGGCTTGGTTGGTCGGCTCTCTTGATTTTGGCTGGGCTCAGCTCTGTGCCCTAGTTGGCTGATCTGTGTTGAAGTCAACTGAGTCAGCTCTGTTCCACCTGTATTTCATTCTTTGTGGATCAACAGACTAGCTAAGGCATGTTATCATTGCAATGGCAGTAGTACAAAAGGGCAGGCTTAACTGTAAGCAGTTAAGTCAAATACCTATTTGCATCACATCTGCCAACCTCCTCTTGCCCGAAACATGTCATATGCACAATCTCAAAGTCAAGGAAGGGGAGAAAAGGGATAATTTCTACCACACATGGCAAAGGACTTAGAATCATGACTTCAAAAAGGAGTTCTCAGCTATGACATTTTTTCATAACTAAAGTTATCCATTTATAAGCTTTAAGAGTATAAGCATGCAGTTTTTATAATGATTAAGAAGGCCTTTTATCATTTGGAAATGCCCAGGATATAGCAGTCAATACCTAAAATATTTGAAATATGTCGGAGCATCATTATAGGTGATTTCTTAAAATTTTTATAAATGGTTAAATATTTGAAAATATTTATATGCCTCTATGGAATATAAAAGTTAAGTTTCAAATTCTAATGAAGTCCGTTTGGCTTTTTGCCTTTCCTTCGGTGTTATATTTAGGAAAACACTGGCAAATCCAACATCATGCATATTTGCCACTGATATTTTCTTTGAAGAGTTTTATAGTTGTAACTCTGTAATTTAGATATTTGATTCCTCTTGAGTAAATTTTTCTATGTGATACATGGTGAGGTCCAACTTCCTTATATCTAAAGTGAATCTTCTATTGACAGCATATAGTTGGATCAGGTTTTTAAATATCCATTTGGCCAATCTCTGCCTTTCAATTGGAGAGTTTAAACCATTTACATTTAAAGTAATTATTGATAGGGAAGGACTTACTTCTGCCATGTAGCTATTTGTTTTTTGTGTGTTGTGTGCTTTTTCTTCTTCAGTCCTTCATCATTGCCTTTTTTGCATTTAGTTGGTTTGTGGTATACTATTTTGATTCCCTTCTTTCCTTTTATATGTCTTTTTATAGTATTTACCTTGGGGATTATAACTATCATATGAATCTCTGTTCCTCCCTTTTTATATTGTTGTTGTCACAGATTGCATCTTTATACCTTGTGTACCATTAACATAATTTTTAATTGTTGTTTTATGCATTTGCCTTTTAAATAATACAGTGACAACAAAGGAGTTGTAATTCAAAAGCATATTGTAGTATTCACCTGCATAGTTACCTTTACTGGTGTCCTTTATTATTTCTTAAAGCATATGTTTATAAATATGTTTTGTAATCTGTTACATGGTGTACCTTGAGGATAGGGGTAATTTCTTAAGCATCTTTGTGTCTCTACAACCAAGATATTGCCTAAGAACATAGTGTTGAATAAATATTTTAGTTAATGATTGAAAGGGATTTTAGTAGAAGTTATTAAAATTGCATTTGACCTTGTTATTTGTTTTTAAAAACAACAGCAACTGTGGGTAACCCCCCATATAGGCACCGAGGAATGAGAGCTAAGCAGAACCCTGGCACAGTTAGGGCCTGAGGAATATCTCAATTTATAGTGTTACTGCTCAGATATTTCCTTTTATATAATTCTTTACATAATCACATATTAGTTTATAGAAATAGGGCTTGATGAATCTCTTTATATAATCCTCTCTATATAATCATATAATAGTTGATAGTATGAGTGTCTAAAGAATATTTCCCTACATATATACCTATAATTATATCTTAGTTCATAATCGGAGGAATGCCTAGAGTGGACACAGTATAGATAATGAATTAAGGAATAAGCAGCTTATAATCGGAGGAATGCCTAGAGCAGACACAGTGCAGAGCATGATTTAAGGGAAAAACAGTTATACCAGGACAAGAATCCATGGCCCAGGCGGCAGCATTTAGTATCATAAAGATACCCGCTGTATGGCAGGCTTGGGGCAAGAGCCACTCCTGATAAAGAAGTTGTAGGACCTTGCTTCAGTTCTTGTGGAAGGCTGCCCTCAGACAGGCAATCCACCTTGGTGACTGTGAACTCTATCAGCTCTTGCTGCTGTGCTGCTTGAAAATCATCTTCCCATAGAACCCATTGGAAGCTGACAGAAGGTGGCGGTAACCTTGACAGCTCTGTCACTGCTATGTGACTTAAAGCATCCTTCTATAAATCTTCTTAGAAGTAGTTT